CACCTGTACACTCTTTGCTTTTTGCAAATGACCTTCTGATTTGTGGACAAGCAACTCATCAGGAAGCATCCGAGATGGCACACATTCTCCAACACATTTGTGCTAAGTCAGGTCAAACCCAAAAATGGAACAAATCTGCTATCCTTTTCAGCGCCAATGTCCATTTTCCTAGTTCCAGCTATGAACAGTGATTTCACTCACCTAGGTCACCCACTCATTCTTCTGGCAAAAAATAGAACCACTCCTTACAATTTTGTACTTGATAAATTTATGGCTAAGTTGCCCTCTTACAAAGCCAACATGCGCTCGCATGCTGCTAGGCTGGAACTAGTTAGATAGCAAAGAAATTTATTGCATGTCTACCATTTTATTAGCAAAGAAATTTATCGCTAAACTAACCGCTATGATCAGGATTTTTTGGTGGACGGGAATTAAAAAGGATAGCTCATCCAACAGCCTTTATTTTAGAGTGTGAAAAGACATTTGCCCTTCCAAGCGGGAGGGTGAGGGGTTGGGTATTAGAAATATCAAGGCCATTAATCAGGGTCTCGTTCTTTCTACTCCCTAGAGAATTGCTGCCTCTCCCACCTACCACCTCTACCTCATCCTCAAGTCTAATTATTTTGCTGACTCCTCTCTTTGGGCTGCTAGTTCTAAATTCCCAAAATCTACTTTCTGGACCTCCATACTTAAGTTACTCCCTATGCTCAAAGGACACTCTTTCTTCCAACTCACCGAGGTAAAACATTTCTCTTTGGAGAGCTCCTTGGTGCCCACCTTGGCAAGATATCTAAAATCACCTCATCATCCAACTGCCAGACTTTGTTTGTCTTGCCATAATTAGTGATCTTTGATATTCAGGTAGTAAATCTCTAAACAACAACTTAATCACCACTCTTTTCCAGGAACCTACGGATTTTTGATTTTTCCCTGCTAACAATATATCTGTGGTTTCTTCCACCATGACCTTAATGTTGGGTTTCGTAGTAATTTCAAAATTTTCCTACGCTCACGCAAGATCATGGTGATGCATAGCAACGAGAGGGGAGAGTATGATCTACGTACCCTTGTAGATCGACAATGGAAGCGTTTGGTTGATGTAGTCGTAC